GCGCAAGGAATCTAGGACGCACGGCGCTGCTTGCTGCAGCAGCGCATATGCGGTGGCTGCGGTGAGGAGGGTACGGCGTCTGATGCTGGCTGGCAGGCTCCCGCCAGCGGGCCGGGCATCACCAAGATGATGGCAGGTTGCAAAACGGACGCGAAGCCGCGAGCAGGTGGCGGCACTCACACTCTGTCTTTGCCCGCCAAATGCTTCTGCACCAGCTGCGGCCGGCCAAACGGGGCAAGGCGGGCGGCAGCCGGCGGACGAGGAGGGACGGTTGGGTGACGCAGAGGGTGGCCGGTGCTGCAGCGAGATTATCGCGGATGACTAGGCGCCTGGAGTCGCCAGAAGCAAGGCCACGCAGGCGGCGCTGCCCGGCAGCCACAAGATGTGCAGCTCCTGAGTTTGCTGAGGCCGCCTGTGACCCCTCGACTGATGCTGCAGGCTGCGAGCGGCGCCAACGCCGATGATGCAGTGACATGCAGTGTGACATGCAATGTGTTGCACTGGAGGTGAGTGTCGCATCTGCTGTGCGAGTCTGCCAACATTGCCGCACCTCGTCGATGCCCTCGTCATCATTGAAGTTGTCCACCACCCAATTGATGGCGCCAGGCTGCAGAAAAGCGGGTGTGCAGCGTTGTGGGGGGTGCGGGGGCTCAGCGCCTGAGGCTCAGGCCGCCTGCCATGGCGTCCAAGCGTTGATGGTGGCGCCAGTGCGATCACAAGGGGCAGCAGCCGGCAAGACAGCAGGCAGGCCGCGGCCGCCAACTCTGCAAGGGGGCCCCCAAACGCACTATGTGGCCGTCCGCAAAATCCTGAGAGGCGAGGGGAAGACGGCGAAGAGCAGCGGGAGGATTGTGTGAAGAAATCTATTGCAGCCGCGACAGCGTGGGCGCGCCGCTGAGCACGCGCGATAGCTGGCGCGCGCCTATCGACAAGTGAGGGGCGCCGTGGGGCGGCCGCTCAGAGCCCAGGCCGCGGCGGTGTCGAGGCACGGCAGCGGGCGTGCGCGGTCCAGCGGCGTTTCCCGCCGAGCGGACGTCGCAGCAGAGGGGCAGCATAAACAGCCGCGTCCAACAGCGAGGTACTCACATCATCTCTGACGTCCACCACCACTGTAGAGCGGGCTGCATGGCGCAGACATGCAAGGCGGGTACGTGCATCGTGGGGCGGGCCGCTGGCGGCGTGCTGCTGGGCGGGCGCATGTGCGCGGCAGGAGCACACCACGGGCACTGCGCGAGCTGCTCTGCCGCTGATACGGCCATGGGCAGCCATGCAGTCGCCATTGCGCACCCATGGGGCCTTCCAATATCTGTTTGACGGCCTCGCAAGACACCATGCGGGGCTCCATCACCGTTGATGACCGATCTTGCCCGGGGTCGCGTGCTGCCTGACGTGCGAAAGCTCACAGCGACAAATCTTAGGAGCCAAAGTGCAAAAGAATGTTGGGATGGCTGCTTGCTGCACACTCGCTGTCCGCCTACCAGACCAGTACCGCCCAGGGTGACCTGCGGTCATCTCGCCATCGCTGCACTGTCCCAAGGCGTGGGCAGGCCTGGGCATAGCACTACTTGGTACATCAGCCAGTGACTAGTATTCCCAGTTGGGCTTGTAACAGCTGCTCAGTGATGCGGAGAATCCGGAGCGGCCGTGGAGGCGCCTGAGCAACACTGCGGCAGCTTGACACACACCGCCGGCCATTTGCACCACGCAAGCACGCAACATGCGCTGCTGCAGCAAGCAGGCATTTGATTCAAAATAATGCCCCGCGCAAAATCAATCAGCAGCGGCTCAAAAATCATTTCTTGTGGAGGAGGCGGGCCCCCGTCTTCGCATATGTGCAGTGTGGCACGCAGCAGGGGCTTGCTCAGAAACCAGAGGGGCTATTATTATTGCGGGCACAATCAACGGCGGCATGTAAGACTTGGCGCTCTCCAAAACACAGCACGCGCTCAAGAAGATGGGACAAACCAGGCGGTTGCGGCCGAGAGCGCACCATTCAGGGCTGCGGGTGGCTGCTCGGCGGTGCCAGCCCGCTGCCATCGCTGCAGCGAGGCGGCGGCGCAGCTGATCGGATCCCGGCACCCCAAAATACCTACAACTAATTTTTCAGCCGCCAAGACAGCAGGAGCTCTGGCCCCGCGCCGCCACCAGGCAACCACGTCAATGCTTTGTGCTGCCTGGAGGCGCATGCAATCAAACATGAATGAATTAAACCAGCCGCACTGGCCGGCGCTATTCATTTGGAGGAGCCCGTTGTGTGCAGCAGCCACTGCCGCCGCAGCGCCATCGCCATGCTGACCGCCCCGTACGCATTGACCGCGGCCAACACCAACAGCCCGGGCTCACAGACGCGCGCCACCACCAGCGCCACAAACGCGGCAGCCAGCGCCAGGCGGGACCAGACGGAAGCTGAGTAGAAGCTGGTGCTGCTATATAGCAGGTTGTTGCGCCGCCGCTCCGCCTCTGCAGACGCTGCGGACGTTGAACCAGGCCCGCCCCAAGCACGCTCCGCCTCCGCCTCCGCGCCACGTTGGTATCCACCAACACCGTCGCCGCCGCCGCCGCCGCCGCCGCCAGGGCTGGCCGCGCCGCCGCTCGCCACCCCCGCTGCGCCCTGCTGCCGCCTGTGGCGCGCCTGCTGAGACAGCTCCTCTCTCTCCCGCTCCATCGTGCGTTCGATGCCGGCGACCTCGGCGCTGTGGCAGCGCCGCGCGTCCGCCACGCGGCACCAGTCGCCCCAAGCAGTGCCCAGGTCTGTAGGAGGTTGATTGTGGCGGCAGCCGTCAACAAGAAGCGCGCGGTGACGGCATGCAAGGGGCCACGGGCAAAAGGACGCGTGCATGTACGAGGTTGGACGGCGGTCCCAGCCTTGAGGCTGCTCACGCAGACCGTTCCCGACAGCACGTTTCCATCAGCACACACATAAACGTCACAGCTCAACGGGCACTGCGATGCCCATTCAAACATGGCGCGGCTGCGGCGCTGCGGCAGGCGCGCAGGCAGCAGCTACGACTCTCACATTGCAGGCCGAAAGTGCTGAAAAGGACGCCGCCCACACGGATCCAGCCGGCGGGGACTTGGGACGCGTCAAACAGCAGCCTGCGGCGTACAGCAAGCAGGGGTTTAGGACACCGCTGTAGCTGATGTGCTTGCAGCTCTGTTCGCATCCTTTGGCAGACTTGATGTGGTTTAACCGGAACCATGGCGCCTGTAACAAAATGGGCGCGCTCAAAGGGTCGTGAGCGCGCCACCCCCTCTCATCACGCATGACAGGGTTGCGGGGCATAGCGTTCAAGTGGGCCCCTGCTCACACCCGCCGCGCCACCCACCCGAGGACGGTGCGGGGGGCGGCCACGAGGGCGGCGCCCGCCAGAAGGGCGTACAGCCCTGTCACGAAAGACGCGGTGGCGGCAGGGTACGCCCTGGGTGTGGACGCGAGGCGACAAGAAATCGGCGGGCAGGAGGAAACTGAGTTGTCAGGAGAGAGAAGTGAGAGGGCGGGTCGCGGCCTGAGACCTGTCAGTGGCTGCAGCTCTGGCGAGCGGCTCATGATCAGCGACCGAAGCGCAATCCTGCGAAGCGCCGCCGCCGTGCGCTGCCTCACCCTCCCACAGCCCCCGGTGCCCTGATTGCCACGGCAAGCTGATGAGCGCGGCGCACGCGGACGCAAAACGCGCCCGCAATGTCAAAGGACTGCAAGAATGCCCCGCAGCCCGGCCCACCTCTTCCACCGCCAGAAGGAGGCGCCGATGGCGGCAATGCTGGGGGTCGGGCGCGTGCGGCCCAGCGGCTGCACCTGGATGACCGACTTGCTGCCCGACGCCGCCACGTAGGCGCAGTGGGGCCCGGCCACCGTCACCTGCGGGTGCACGCGAGGCGGTGCATGCGCAAGGGTCAGGGAAGAGGGGCCCGATGTTGGTTGCTGACAAGGCATGCAGCGCGCCGCATGCACTCGCATGCGGTGCATGGGGCCCCATGCAGCTGCTGCCGCCCCCATGCGCCCCTCAGCCATGCAAGCTGCCAGCATGCGGCCCCACAGCACCGGCCCCGCGCGCACCTTGGCATCCGCCAGGGTTTGGGTGTCGGCGATTTTGAGCTGCGCGCCGCGCATTTCCAGCGCGACGACGCGCGCCGCGCCGTTGGCGCCCGCGCCGAGGTCTGCCCCGGCATGCACCGAGCCCTGCAGGCTGCCGAGGCAGATCACGTCCCCGGAGGCGACGATGGCGGCGCCCTTGGCGACGGACCCGTGGATAACGAGGTCGCCGGTGTGCTGCAGGGTGTCTCCGCTGGGGACGCTGCCGACGTCGAGATAGCCGGCCGGCCGCAGCAGGGCAAACAGGTCGGGCGCCAGGTCGGCGACACCCGCCGGCGGCGCCGGCGTCGCGAGCGGGCCGCTGGCGTAGAAGGCCGGCGGCGGCGGGAGCGGCACGCGGCGACGCGGGGGCTCGCGGGCTCGCGGGCGGTGGGCGAGAGGGCGCGCTGCGGCGAGCAACAGTGATGGCAGCGGCGCGACGGCGCCGGCGCTGGCGGCACGGGGTGCGTGCGCGCCAGGGCCGTGGAAGCCAACGGTGGTATACATAAATTTTCGTAACGCGAACGACTGGCCTCTATGGAGATTGTCCTGTGCTCTGCGGGCGTCGAGAGTGTTTGAACGGTGTGTGTGGTGTGCGGCGGAAGCGCGTGTGTTAATTTGGACTTTTGTACGAATGTTCAATTGTGAAATCGGTGATTGATAATTGTACAATTGACGCACATGAACACTCATCACGAACGACGCTGACAGTGCCATCAGAGGAGGGGCAGCTGCAGCCCACCATCGACTCGCCGCACTGCTCCGCCGCCGCCAAGTGCAGTCAGAGGCCGCATGCTGGCGCGAGGGGCAGCCGCACGTACCAGATTGAGCAGCCCACCGGCGGCTTATAGCCCCCCCGTGCACCGCACCGCACGCTGGCTCCGGCCCTGTTGCGCTAGCGCCGCCGCCGCAGCAGCAGCAGCGGCGGCAGCCCCCGCCCGCCCCGGCCTCCCAGCCCCCGAGCCCCCCGCTTCACCACGGCGGAGGGGCTCCCAGCGCCGCGGGCAGCCCGAGTACCGCCCCATAGAGCCCGGAATGGAGGGCCGGGTGCTTTTCATCGGGGGCATACCCAGGGACAGCCCCGCAGAGGGCGCCGCCGCCGCGATCCGCCGCCTGTGCCCCCAGGCCACCCACGTAGCCCTGAAGGACCCCCACCGCGGCTGGGCGCTCGCGGCTTTCAGGGGCACGGCCGCCGCGGGCGAGGCCGCCGCGGCGCTCGGCGCGGCGGCGGCGGCGGGGTTGCCCGAGCTCGGGGCGGCGCTGACGGTGAGAGCTTGCACATGCGCGTGCGTGCACGTTCGCACGCGTCTGATTTCGCCGCTTGGCTGCTGCAGCTGCCATGTGCAGAGTGGTTCCTTCCGGGGCCCTCCACCGCGTGGCCTATCCCAATTGACGCGTGGGACGCCCCATGCGTGGGCCGCCGCTGCAGGTGGCACCGGCGCTGAGGGTGCCCACGTCGTGGCCCGCCGAGTGGATGATGACGGCAGAGGAGGCCGAGGCGGCGCGGCGGCAGAAAGAGGTGCGCCCACCGCAGCGGCCGCCGCCCGCGCGCGGCCCGCATGCCCCGCCACTCTTGTGGGGGCCCTCAAACCCCATGAAGTCCGCAGTCATGCC